GGCCTGAAAAAACTGATTCCGTGTCCATTGTGTTTGCCACTGACCCTGGTGCCCAATGTCCCAAGCCATCCATCCCATAGTTGCAGAAGAAAAGGCTTTCTTTGCACACTTCCTGCCTTCTGCAATGGCCTTGAAGAGAGGTTTGGCTAATTCTGGCCCATGGTTTTCTTTTTAAACCTTCTAAAACTCAGCAACTGCCCTTTCCTAATGCCATTTCCTCCTTTTTAAGTAAAACCACAGTGGCCACAGACGCTAATGCACTGCTGCCTCCCTCCCTCACCTTGCCCTGCACACTTCTGCTGAGGCCACAGTATATCCTGCATCTAGTGTTGTATCTATACATCAGTGTCACCACCCATTAAAGGCTTGTGTCCTCTCTTGTTCATGATGGGGACCTTGTTCCTCATTCCTAAAGGGGTGATAGATGGAGGCAGAGCATTTGGAGGGTGAATTGTGGCAGGCTTAGGTTACTCATGCAGGTGGGGCCCCTATAATGGGACCAGATGTCTCTGCAGGAAGAGTGATCAGAGACCACCTTACTTCCATCTCTCACCCTTGTCTCTCCTCATCTACCGTTTTTTTCTTTTGTCTTTTTGAAGTGTTTTTAATTTTTACTTTATGTGTCTGAGTGTTTGCCTGCATGCCTGTGCCACACATGTGTGCCTGGTGCCTGTAGAGGACAGAAGAGGGCATTGCAGCCCCTGGAACTGGAGTTGCAGATGGTTGTGAGCTGTTCTCTGGAAGAACAGTCATTGCTATTAACTGCTGAGCCAACTCTCCAGACCCCTCCTCTATTATTTCTGTACCTCCACTCCATCTCATTTCTGTCTTTCTCACTCTCTCTCCAGCTCTGTCGATTCCACCTTCATCTCTTGCCTCTCCCTCACAGCTCTTCCTCTAGTTCCGTCTCTCCGTTTCCCTCCATTGCTCTGCAACTGTTGCCTGCTGTTTATGCACCAACAAGGCTATTGCCCATCATCTCCACGCCCTTCTCTATACCTGCACCCATCTCCATCATCCCCGGCTCCGTCCCTTCCATCTGCATCATCTCCAGTACCATCTCCATCACCTCCATCTCCATCATCTCCATCTCCATCACCTCCATCTCCATCACCTCCATCTCCATCATCTCCATCTCCATCATCTCCATCATCCCCAGCGCCATCTCATCCATCTGCATCATCTCCAGTACCATCTCCATCGTCATCATCTCCATCTGCATCATCTCCATCTGCATCATCTCCATCTCCATCATCTCAGTCTCCATATCATCTCTTCACCGGTGAGGATGTAGAGAGAAGATGGCAACCTATAGGGTAGGGTCGAGGAGGCCAACTCAGGCAGTACCGGTGCCCTTGCATATGCAGACTGGCACCTGGCACTCAGTTTCAAGAAGCTCCCAGAAGGGATGGAAAGATACAGGGTGGCATCTGGGTGGCACAGACAGCAGGGCTAGTGCAAGAACCTGAGGGTTGGCAACAGTGTAGCATAGCACAGTGAGGAGACCATACAGCTTCACTTGACACTCAGCTCAGGTGTCCCTTCTCTCTAGTGTCCCATGACTCCTCTTCAGAATGCTTCATTTTTTGCCAGTTCCTAGAACTTGTAACTACACACTCACTGACTTGTTTACAGACTACTTCCTTGTTCCTCAAGTTCAAGTGGCTGGAGTCATGCATTGTGCTGTGACATATGACTTGGGCTCGGTGAGGAACTATCACCCCATTTCACGGCTCCTAGGCCCACTGTGGGCTTTTCCCATCTACTCAATTCTTCCTGACTTCCCACTGGAATTGTAACAGGTGCCCAGGCCTTAGTAGGCACTGAGACCTTAGCACAACCAACTCTAGATGAAAGTGCCATTCTGGCTATAAAACTCAGCATGTGGAAAGCATCAGCTGCCAAGACGAAGACACAGGCCTACTTCGTCAACGTCCATGGTTACAGGAAAGCCTCTAACTGTACTAACCTTGCTTCTTAGCTTCTGCTTCTGGCTAACTGCTCTTGTTAACTGAAGTATGTCAACCAAGAACATGGTTTTTGTGTTTAAAAGCTCACCCTGAGAAAGGCTCGGTGGGGAAGGCTCCATTGAGACTCTGAGCACCCAGTGCAGTCTTCAGTCAGCTAGTAAAGACTTTGTGTTGGCTTAAACCCATGTCCGAGCAGTCTTCTCTGATGAACACCCCACCACAGGACAGCACTAAAGACCCCAGTTTCCCTCTACGCATCCCTGTTATGGGCCGTGGTGTTCTATTTCTTATGTGCTTTATAGATGCAGCCTTGGCACGGACACCATGACTCAGAAACTCCCTACTTTGTTCCAAACAGTGCTGGCCTTCAGCCTTTTCCAACCCAAATATGCCCCATCCCACCAACCCGTGTCTTGGCATGGAATGGCATCCCTGCCTCCACGTGAATGAGAGCACAAGTAGACGCTGAACAGGAAGGCATCATGGAGTCTAACTCACCAGATGCAGAGCCGGGGGCCTGTTACCCTTGAATAGGAGGACCCTTCCAACCGGGGTATCTCACTGGCCAGTAATTGTTGGTCAGCTCTGGGGTTGCTGCCTCTGACTACCTTACTTTAGCATAGATGTCATACCCCTTTGTGACCTCTGAGGAACTGGGCACAGACCCTAAACAGGAAATTTTAGGGGTTGGTATATATCAGGGAAACTCTTCTGTCAGGACAGGTCCATAGGCTGGGCTGTCTGTATGAGGCTGTGTCCAGTGGAGTCCCGTAGTGAAGGTCAGCCCTGACAGTGTACAGAACCGGCATCCCACCCCAGGGTTTCTTTGGACCTCATCGGTTTCCCTAGAAAGGTCTGTGCTAGAGTTCGAGCCAAACAGCCATACTTGACTGTCCTGGTTCCTCAGACTCTCTAGTCAGGGTCCATTCAGTACTCTTGGCTGTCCTGACTTCTCAGGGTCCTCTTAGTTGGTTGTTCTGGATCATCCAGACTCTCTGACCTGGGCCAACTCACTGTTCCTAGCTGTCCTGGCTCCTCAAAGTTCCTCTGACCAAGGTGGAGCCCTCATGGTCATGACCTTGGGGTTAACAGATGAGCCTAGCATGGCCCATATGTTCTATGGGCGCCTTGCCCTTAGGTGATGAGAGCTTGGCTCTACAGTCCACCATGCAGAGACTTGTTCATATCCAGGGCTTTCCTAAAACCCTTCTGTGAGAAACAGACGTACCAGCTATGGCCCAGCTTGTACACAGCCTGGCTTTCCACTAGATGTATGGTTTCCAGACAAAACGCAGACGCCCAACGTGGCTTTGCTGGCCCCCTGGCTCATGCATGCAGTGTGACTCTGTTGGGTTCAGCTGCACTCCTGTCTCAGATCCTAGCTGCCTGCTTGAACTTCCCCTCGTCTTACTGATATGAAAGCTGGCCATCCGGGTGACAGTGCTGAGTTCTGTTGTTGCTGGGTCCTGGGATTAGGGATGTCTCACACCTCAAGCTTCAGCTGACCTCTGCCCACCTCCTGGGATGGGCAGGCTGGTGTCCGTGCTTCCATACCCAAGAGGATGTTTGGAAATATAAATAGTAAGTCCTGAACCACACAGGAAGGCATAGCCACAGCTGAGGTTGGGAGCACTCCCTCGCTCTTCTTGAAGGCTGCCCTACCTTTCAGAGTCACCAAGAAGGTTTCTTTCATTTGTTTCTTTGTGTGTGTGTGTGTGTGTGTGTGTGTGTGTGTATGTTTAAAACAGGATCTCTTATAACCCACACTAAGTGTGAGCTCACCATATAGCCAAGGATGACCTTGAACTGATTTCCCTGCCTCCACTCCCCAAGTGGAGATGAAAAGTGTGTGTCACTGTGGGTGGTTTGTGTGGTGTTAAGAATGAAACCTAGGTCCTTATGGATGATAGGTGAGCACTCTACCAATTGAGCTACATCAGAGTTGCCCTTGCGTTGTTGATGACCCAAGAAGACAGTGTGTGTTGCTGCCAACCGTGGTTCCTAAGAAGGGTTGTGTCCCCACCCCCATACCTTTCTTACTGTGTGAAGTGGAAAATTCCTTTCAGTGACAAAATTATAATGAGACTCCATGATACTGTTTTAAATGTTGGGAGTTTTGCAACATAAGTGGTTGACGACCCTCTGTAGCCCGCTCAGATTATCCACGTTAGACTGTTCCAAGATCCACCATTCTGGAAACCTCAACCCTCTGTAATATCCTGTGGCTAGCAGTGCACACACCAGGGTTCTCCAGTAGGACCCAAGAGTCTGTTCCAACATCCACATCTCCATCTTGCTGCGACATGCTCAGACTCTGACATTATTCCCTTGCTGGTTTTGGCCCACCCCTTCTGTTCGAGCTATATATATATTCAGAGGAGAGATGGTTAAAAATATTTCTCTCACCTGACTTGGTTTAGTTATTTCTTCTTGTTTCTTATGCTGTCAGACACCTGCCATTCTCCAGCACTCAAATGCCTCTGCTTCCCAAAGTCAAGCACCTAGCTTCCCACCACTGCCCTGAAGATCAACCAACCCCTGTGTCTTGTGATCATGAAGCTCATTCTAAGGCCAGCATCCTACCCACTCAGACATGTGGTCTTACTGAGCCCAGCATCCAATATAAACGGAAGAAGGCTCCGACACACACTGTGACTTTCTCCTCTGTGACCCTGGTGATAGAGGCCTCGGTGGCTGCTTTGGCTGGACCCAGCTGAGATGGGGACAGGTCTCAGCACTCAGACATGGGACCTGTAGAAGGAGGGAGCTGAGTCCCACAGGTGATGTCCTCCATGTTCTTTACCTCTAGATTGCAGCCATATTCCATCTGAAAAATTAGGGGCTCTAGGTATCCTGAAGACCAATTTGCTGCCACACTGGACACCACCCAGCAGCAAACATGGTTCTAACTCTCCCCCAGGTGTGGCTGAGCATTAACACCAGGAGTGAGTGAGGTCTGGAGGATGTGCTCAAGCTCACTCACCCAGGTAGCACTCAGGAGCACACACTTGTGCATTAACTGCAAAGCCCTTCACGAAAAAGGAATCTGTTTATTCTTTTATGTTATACTTTTATACTTTTCATCATGCCAAACAATCGAAGCTGCTCTGCCACCATCTGAGAGGTCATTCCCATAGGAGGGTCAACTGACCAATCAGCAATAAATACCTGGCTCTTGAGGGTGGGACTCAGGTTTTCAGATGGCAGGAGTATGGCGGATAAGCATGTCTCTTTCCTACTTGTTCCCTGATAGTTAGGCCTAGCTCTTATGTTTCATCTGTCCATAAGGACAAAGGCAAGATCTTAGTTTCGTCCCTGGTCCAGTTTTTGTACGTGTCCAGTTACCTCTACCTTCTCCCATCACAAGGAAAACAGTGACTGGTATGGGCGTAGATATTAACGAGAGCCTCTGGGTGATCAAAATGCTCCTTGTGGCCGTTAGTAGGTTGTATTTGTCTCAGTTGGTGCATATGAATATGAAGAAAGCATGTATAAGAGAAATGCAGGCAGAGAGGACACTGGGCCTTCTCTATTGCTGTCTTTACTTCCCTGTTGACAAAGCTCCTTTCAGACACACAACTAAGGATGAATTTTAACTCACAAAGCTTCAGTCTCGGGTCTTGGGTTGAAGTGTTTTGGCAGCATATCACCGGGGCGTTTGGTTTCCTTCTCATTCCCTTTCTTGCCTCCCTGTTTCTCCCTCTTTTTCAGTTGCTGATGTCTGATTTTTCGCAGAATGCATGTCACGTTGCGTTCCTCACAGAAGGAATGTCTCCTCCGGGCTTCATTCACTTGTTCATCCGTTCCTTCGTTTCTCTTTTGCTGACTTGTCCAGAATGCCTTTCTTACCCAATCCTCAAGCAGTTCCTTCACCATAGGAGTTGTAGTGGTTTGAAGAAGATGACTTTCAAAGGGTGTAACACTATTAGGAGGTGTGGTCTTGCTGGAGGAAGTGTGTCACTGCGGAGTGGGCTTGGAGTTCTGTGCTCAAGCTACTCCCAGTGTCATAGTCCACTTCCTGTTGCCTTCTGATCAAGATGTAGCCAGTACCATGGAACCTGCACACTTCCATGTTCCCTGCCATGATGACGAGGGGCTGCCACCTCAGTTAAGCGGGTTTTCCTTTAAAAGACTTGCGTAGTCATGGTGTCTCCACGTCTTGTCACCTGCAAGATGTAAGACTCTCAGTTCCTTCTCCAGCAAGATGTCTGCCTGCATGCCACCATATTGCACCATGATGATAATGGAGACATAAGCCACCCCAGTTAAATGATTTTCCTTTATAAGAGTTGCCATAGTTTCTAAACATAAAGCAAAGAAAACCAGCCACAATCCCAGAGAACTTAGAAAACAATGAGGACCCTAAGAGTGACATACATGGATATAATCTACATGGGAAGTAGAAAAAGACAAGATCTCCTGAGTAAATTGGGAGCATAGGGACCTTGAGGGAGGGTTGAAGGGGTAGGGGAGAGGCAGGGAGGAGAGCAGAGAAAAATGTAGAGCTCAGTAAATATCAATAAAAAAAGAGTTGCCATGGTCATGGTGTTTCTTCACAGCCATAGAAACCTAAATAAGACAGGAACCAGCTGCGGCACACACAGGAGCAGCAGCAGGCTACCTGAAGTAGATGCTGTTGGTCTGTTTGCAGCAGTAGGGAAATCAAGTCAGACGATTTTATCAATGTTAGTATCAGAGCAGTGGCCTGGCCCAAGCTATATAAACCCTCCATTGCCCTCTACTCTGTTCTGGAAGTACGTGAGTTCCTGTGAGTTCCCAGCTATGGACATCGTGGATGGTGACATTGTGGTGTCTTCGCAGAATTCTCGCAGCACTTGCATATTGGAATGGGAGGTGTCTGAAGTAGATGGTTTTCCCTACAGGCTCTACCCTTTGGTCACAGGACACTTAGGATTTAGTGGACAGTCCCTGCCTTCCCTTTGGTCTCACCTTTTTGTAAATTTTTGGGACAAGGGTTAACAGCAAGTGTGAAAAAGGGACAGAATGGAGAAGGTTAGTGGCAAGAGGGGAAAAAAAAGAACAAAACAGGGCTGGAGAGACTGCTCAGTCCTTAAGAGCACTGGCTACTCTTCCAGAGAGCACGGGTTCAATTCCCAGCAGCCACGTGGTAGCTAACAACCATCTCTAAGTACAGTCCCGGGGGATCTGACACCCTCTTCTGTCCTCCTCAGGGATGTACACAGTACAAACAAAAACAAAAGAACAAAACATAGTAACACACACACACACACACGTATACAAACACGGGAAACGCCGTAATGAAGTCCATCACTTTGTATGTTAACCTTAAAAAAATTAGTTTTTAAAAATTTGGAGGTCTGTGAGATGACTCAGCAGGTAAAGGCTCCTCCACAAAGCCTGACGACCTGAGCTCTTCACCAAGACCCCACATGGTAGAGGAAGGAAGAGAACCGATTCTCACAAGTTGTCCTTTGACCTCCACATACGCATTGTGGTGCATGCGCACACACACCCCAAGAGAGAGGATCTCTCTTAAAAGGTAAAATTTCTAGAAACTGAATGTAGTGGTCCATGCCTGTAAGCCTTGTACTCTGGGGGCTGAGGCAGGGGGATGGTGGTAAATTCCAAAAGGTCTGGTCTGCTTTATGAGATTCTGTGTAAGAAATAAAATCTCATGGTTGATTTTCAAAGATGCCTGGAGCCAGCTTAGGTCCAGCTGCAAATAAATGGAAAACATGAGACCTCTGCTAATGCCTGCTCAGCTATCCCCTCCTAATCAGACTCTGCTAAGATAGCCCCCCCCCCCAAAAAAAAACTCTAGAAGTTAAGGTCAGAAAATTACAAACAGCACAGTTGCCTACCAGATCACATGTCTGATGAGCTGTAAGGACGTGAAGTGTAGAGAAGGCCCCACACGTGGTCTGTGTTGAGAAACAGAACGTAAGCAGCAGAGGGGCAGATAAGACCTAAGTGACGTCTGTAAAGGCTGTCCCTTCTGATCGCTGGGACAAAGGGGGAAAGGAGGAAGGGGTTGCTTGTGCTCGGGTTTAACAACCGTTCTCTACATTCCCCTAGTGTACCTGATGCTCCAGGGTGGTGTCCCACTTTCCACAGCCACAAAGTAGACTGCCTTGTCTTCCACACACGGAATCTCCAGTGCTCCCATTGTAAAGCGAGGATCATCGCTTTTCACCAAAATTCTGCTGTTACTTAAATACATATTAGTGGCAAACTGTGAGGTTCTTACATTTAAAACAAGTCAAGAAAGGGAGACTCTAGAGCCAATAAAATACTAGTGAGCAACATCATCAGAACGGGTTCATTGTGGCACCTGCAAAAACACTGGCAATGCTGCTGACTTGTGCTTCCCTGGGTCAATTTCTTCTTAAGACTGAGAACACAATGCACCATTACTCCAGCCTTCAGGGCCTATTTCTTTTGTTTTCAACAAATCCATCTTAGCTGCTGATTCATTATTTAATGAGCAAATCAATTTAATAATGCACCATCAAAGCACAATTTTGAAAAATAAAAACAACTGTCTCCACGAATGTCAGCGCTAGCAGAAACAGAAATCAGGCAGCAGACTGGCTTCAGGGTCAATGTGTCACAGAAACTGAGGTGTGGTCTAAGACACATTTTGGGTTCTACATCAGAATGATACCATTCCCAGGAAGCCATTTTGGCTCCTTGTCCTTTGAAATCTTTGTCCTGTAGAGAAACCTGTCTCATTGCACAGTAAACTTTTCCCTGTCCTGTTTCGTTTGGCCGTCTCTAAGATTTAGGGGCACGTTCTTCTGTCAAGCAACATTGCTTTTGTGGTGTTCAGTCAAAACTGCTAAATCAATGAAGAGGACCATCTTACGCTGAGAAAATGTTTTTCACCAATAAAAAGAAGTCTGAAGTCTATATTAGCCACAGACATCCCTGCACCCACCTCTACCCCACCCCCATCTGCGCTTGGACAGGACCAAGCTGATGCAGGACAGACCACCACCCTCCTGGAAGGAGGGGCACTTGTGTCGGTGTGTCTGATACAAGTACACATGGATATAGACAGGGCTGTGGTGCCACCACCACGACGGTGGAGTGGTAAAGCTGTGCCATGGAAGGACGCCCTTCAGACTAACAGAAGCAAGGCTTAATGACGGAGCACCTTGAGCAGACTAAGCAGAAAGTCTGATGTCTATTGTGGTCTCTGAGACCCCCTGCCCAACCTTAGCTCGATTTTTTTCCCTCCTTTTTTTCTTTTCTTTTTTTTTTTTTTTTTTGAGCCTACATAGTTTTTGAGATTTTTTTTAAACAACAAATATAAGAGAATTTTAAGAGTTGGTAATTTTTTTTTTTAACATGATGAACACTTAGTTGCTTTTGTACCAACTGTTCCAAAGCCTGCAGCTTTTTTTTTTCTGTTAGAGGCAACTGTTTAACCCATTTTGGTTTCTCAGTTAACCATTTTAAAGGCAGGGCCGTTTGTACCTCTGAAGGTTTGTTAATTGCTTTGTGTTTTTGTACAGTCTGAATGGACGGTGACCTTTGTTTATAATACTTTTTAATATCTTCCCCAGAAACATAAGTTTTGGGGGCTGTAGGAATGTTAATCTGAGTATTTAATTGCTGCAATAGGTCATGACCCCACAAATTTATTGAAATATTAGCTATATATGGCCTCAGCCTTCTTCTCTGTCCTTTTGACCCTGTGCATTTAACCCATCCCGTGCTTTGTTTTACTTGAGATAGGGTTCTAATTCCTAGGAACTGAACATCTACCTCTTGAAGAGGCCAATTTGGATGCCAAGATTTAGGAGTAATGATACTTACATCTGTACCCATGTCTAGTAAGTCTTTAATAAAAATGCCATTTATATACACTCTTAGCTTTGGTCTTTGATCATTTATAGAAGTCTTCCAGAATATATGGTTCCTATGTCCTACTGGAAGTTTTGATTTATCCTCCACATCTATTACATCATCCAGACCAGTATGGTTTTATACAGTAGGCACTGGATTTTTTAATTTTCCTGGAGAGACATGTTCTCCACAGTAACTGGGAATGATAAGACCATGTTTGTGATGGGGGCCTATAAGAGGCCCCCCAAGGAGTTTCCTGATGGTCTTGGATTGCCTTGTCTGTCTTTTGTTGACCTACATTTATTGGTCCACTGTCAGCCTTTGACACAACTTCTACATATACCTGAAGGCTGAGTCCTCCTATTCTTGCCATTCACAGTGGAGACATTATGCCTAGGAATTCCTTGTCTACAATCTCTTCTCAGATGTCCTATTCTACCACAATTAAAACATTTGGTATTTTGATGTCTCTTCATACCATTGGAAATTGCTTTTCCTACCCAAGCTTCAGTACTATAGTCAAATGTCTTAACATTTATTGCATGCAAGATCCATTTATCCACTGGTGCTGGTCTGACCTTTAAAAGCCCAAAGATCTTTTTGCATTCTAAGTTGGCATTCTCAAAAGCCAACGATTTAATTAGTACACATCTAGTTTCTGGGTCTGTTACTCCTATTTGTACAGCCTTAGTTAATCTTTGTAAAAAGTTACTAAAGGGTTTTTTCTGCCCTAGTTAATCTTTGTAAAAAGTTACCAAAGGGTTTTCTCTGGCCCTGTTTAACCCTAATATATGATTCCATTCTCTTTCCTGATTTTTGAATCCTGTTCCAAGCATTTAAAGCTGCTGTGCTACATGGGGACAAGATGTGTTCATCGTAAAGAGTCTGATCCTGAGGATCAGACTAAAGTCCCTCACCCAGAATTTGATTTTGGGAAATCTCAAGTCTTTTTACTTTTCCCTCTTGTTCTAAAATTTTTACTTCTTCTCTCCAATAACACTTTCATAGCAGCTGAGGTCCATTTTCTAGGACTGCTGAGATTAACTGAATCCAATCTTGTGCCGTTGCCTTGTTCCTTGAAGGCCATGTTTTGACCATTTCCCTAACTAATAACGAATGTATTCCATAAGATACAATTGCTTGTTTGTTTTTCTTTAGATCAGTCATACGTATGGGCTTCCATGTATATTCTTTGACTACCTTAGGGTATTTGGTGTCAGAAGCTCTTTCTGATGATATCACTGGAAAGGCAGGTAGAACTCTGGTGAAGGTATCCCAGAGTTTGATACGTACTGATGAGGCTACATTTTTGTCTTTGTACCTTTTGTCCATGGTCATTAAATTTCATAAATTCCTCAATCTTTTGTAATCTTTTTTTTTTAACCACTGCCTTTTGTAATGTCTGGATCTCCTGTCCAGTGTTCTGCTCTAATGCCCTCATTGAGGATTCCAAGGTGTGTGAAGTTTGTCCAGTAGAGATTATGTCTCAACCTTGGGATATAATTTTTATAGCATGCATATTACCTTTCTGGAGAGACATTCTATCAATTTTATCTATCATAACCATTCGACAGAGTCCAATTAATACATTTAACAGTACAAATTCTCTCAGACAATATCTCAGCACCCTCTGTCATTGACTGGGTTCTGTTTGTCAAATTAATTGTGTCCTTTTCCAGTTGATCATTATCAGTCTGTAAAGATGATATCATTTCTAAAAGTGCCTTATTCTTGGCCCTATTATGTTTTTAAGGAGAAAATATGAAGAAAAAAAAACTAATCCCCAGAATCAAATAGAGGAATGTGGTGTGGGATAATTGTCTATATTTTATCAATTATGTTTTAAATAAATGCTGATTGGCCAGTAGCCAGGTAGGAAGTATAGGCGGGACAACCAGACAGAAAGTAGAGACAGGTCAATGAGAACAGGAGAATTCTGGGAAGGAGGAAGACCATTCCTCTGCAGTCCTGTCCAGACACCGAAGAAGGAAGATATGATTGCCCCACTGAAAAAGTTACTGAGCCACATGACTAACATAGATAAGAATAATGGGTTAATATAAGTTATAAGAGTTAATAAAAAGCCTGAGCTAATGGGTCAGTCTGTTTATCATTAATATAGACCTCTGTGTGATTTCTTTGGTGCTAAACAGCTATGAGATCTGGTAGGAGGACAGAAACTAGGCAGGACAGAAACCCAGACAACAGGGATGTAGGAAAGAAATCATATAAACCTTGCATAACATCATACATGGTGTAAGTAAAAAAGCTATTGGATTTTTGAATTGTTAAATTGTCTGTATCTTGCCCTTTTAAATTATAAATTTATAATTTATATTTTAAATTATAAATCTTACCTGTGGTTGAGTTTGAGCTGGCGTAGATCCAATAACTGTTACCTGCTGGTAGGTGTTGTGGTGCACTTGTAGCCATGTGGCCAACTTGAATCTGAATTTATCATTAAATACTGAAATATATGCTCAAAATAAAACAATTATTTGACGTAAATCACAGACCGTGCACTCCACAGAAGTCCCTGACTGGTCATCAGCTGCACGAACACAAAGAGAGCAAGAAAGCAATGCCAAACAGAGACAACTAGAGATGCCCACGTGCCACCTGAGCTTTCACAAGTGCCGGAAAAACTAGACCCAGAAGCCAGCCATGCAGTTGTGGGTGGCCAAGGTACCTGAGCACTTGGAGCAGCTCTGAGGCATTTAAGGAGAAAATATGAAGGACCACAGATAGCAGCTACTCAGGGCTGCTGTATGGTAATTCTATACCCAAATGAACAGCATGGAACCTGACAGCATCTGGCTAGAGCTGCTGGAGACCTGAGCCCCATGTTGGGTGCCAACTGTAGAAGTTAGCTCGATTCGGGTAATAACCAGGCTAGCTAAAAGATAAAACAATTATATTTTTATTTATTATAAGGGGAAAACTCACAAAACAGGAACGAGAAGTCCAAGCTCAGCTGTGCTGTGAGGGAACCACACAGAGAGAGGGCACCTGGGCCACATGCCGTTTTTCTCTGGGTCCCAGAAAGCCACACCCTAACTTGGTCCCACCTCTTAAAGATAATTGGCTGGCAAAGATTCCCCATCGTTAACTCATCTTGGCTGTCTGGACTTGGCCAGTCATTTCTCTTCTTAGGGCTTCTATTTCTAGTCCCTGAACAAAGGAAATCAGAGTATTTCTCACAGCATTGTTGGGATATCAAGCAAGCAGGGAATCACTTAGATTTTGGTATCATGATGCAGTATCCGTGGCCACCTATGTCGTCTCCCAGATTAAGGACTCTTCCTAGCACTAAAGGATACCGATTCAGGGGTGGAAAACTTTCCTCAAAGTGACCCTCTTTAGCATATGAGCATGTCAGAGCCTTGCATCTGTTTTACTGTGTTTGTTTTTGTCAGTCCTGGTTATCTGTCTTATGAGACGGCCAACTCAGCAGTCACAAGCCATGGAAATTTCAGGACACGACTGAGATAAGCAAAGAGCCAACACGCAGCCACGACTGACCATGCCTGTGTGTACTAACCAGTGTGGAAGGGCATCTTCCACAACTAGAAAGCAATTTGTTCCTAGAACCCTATGGCTCCAAGCTTCACAACTGAGACTAACCAAGCTCAAGAAGATTAAATAGTTCAGCTGGAGTTGGGCAGTCAAGAAGATAGAGGATGTAGACATCACCAGACAAATGTCTGGACCACAACCTCCTCCCTCTATTCATAGTGCATTGACCTGGAGATGGAGGGCAGAGGGGTGGGTCAAGGGCCCTATTGATGTGAATTACATCCTGCCTCATGTCTCCTCATGTGATGAAGGCTAATTCCAGTCTCTGGGGTGGCTTTGGATGGCTTGCCTGTGTGAAGTCACATGAGGGAACTTGGGGTGGAATTCTCAGACATATAGAATTTCTACCAGGGCTCTGACCATGCTGGGTACCCCATCAGACCATGGTGGGTACCCCACTGGGCCGAAGATGCTGTCTGGTGGGAACCTGTAAATTATCGACTAACTGAACAGTACTTGGATCTCTATCTCAGTAGAGGTGGAACAGGCCACTTCTGTTCCTTGTGGTCCACCCACCGGCTCAGCTCCCTGAAGATTGTGAGGACCTTCAGATAGGTCTGTGTCCCCACATCTCTTCTCTTCTTTCATTGGAAGGCCTGAGAGAGGAGCCTGCGTGTGGAACAGGCCATGTTTGCACAGTCCTGGCTGAGTACTCACTGGTACTTTCCAGAGGAGATGGGATGGGGTGGGCAGTGGGGAGCCCCCGGAAGTTGTAGACTCCCAGGCTCTGGACTGGATAAAAGCAGCTCCCAAAAATGATGACAAAGAGAGCAGGCACCACCTTGACTCAGCAAACAGTAAGAGAAAAATATAAACACGGGACTCAGATTGGGAGAGATGCTGTTTCCAGACAGGCTTGATGGATTCGGGTCGCATGAAGGAGACGTTCCTGTAAGAGCGGATTGCTGAGGAAGGATGAGCTATCACCTTCTCTGAAGGTCTTTCGAGAGAGCATTAATTTCTACCTGTCCGAGGTCAGTTAAATAGGTCCAGCTTGAAGGGAGAAAATGCATCAAAGTGACGGGCAAGGTCTCGCCTCGCCTTGCGCATCTGTGGTTTCTCTGCCATTTGCAAGACTTGCTCACAATACATTCTGGAAAACTGAGAGTATGTCTGAGCTTTGCCCAAGGCTCCTGCGTGACCTGTCGCCACGTCATGGGAGGTAATTCAGACCCTAGAAATAACCTGTATTTGTCCCTTGGAGACATCCGTTTATGAGAAAAGCAGAATGGCATAGGTCATTCACAAAGACACTGCAGGAATTACACCTGAGAGTCACTGCTCCCATCATTAAGAAACCGGGTGACAGCAGTTGCTGGGGAAGGTGTGATGAAAGAGAAACCTTCATTCATGGCTGGTGAGGGTGTAAACTGATGCAGGCCCTGTGGGGATCAGCGTGGAGATGCCTCAGACAACTAAATTAGAATTACACTACTGCCCGGCTATACCACTCCCACGCATAGGCTCACAGGACTCTATATCCTACTACAGAGACATTTGCACGTCCTTGGTTATTGCTGCTCTTTCCATAATAGCAAGGGAACGGAACCCGTCTAGATGGCCATCGATGGATAAATGGATAATAAAAATGGGGTCCAGATACACAATGGGCATTTATTCAGCTGTAAAGAAAAGCTAAATCATGCAATTACAGGACAGTGGGTGAATCTAGAACATACTATACCCAGCAAGGTGACCTAGACCCAGAAAGACAAAGGTCGCATGCTCTCTCTCGTACTGCGATCCTAGCTTTTAAAGTTTATATGTGTACATATTCACTGTGAGTGTGGGTATAGGCTGTGAAACTAGGATTGGTACCACAGAGGGAAAAAAGGTTTCTCAGGAACAGAGGCAGCGAGGGTACCGAACACACAAAGCAGATAGGAGGCTCCTGGTGGGGAGAGAGTACAAGGAAAGGAAGGAGGTTGGGGAGGGATAAGGGGGGTGAATAGTCAACAAAACAAATTGTATTCGAAAACCTACAAGGAAACCTATTACTTGGTATGCTAATTTTAAAAATTAAAAAAATAGGAAGGCTCTGTGGGCAAAATGCGTGACCACAGCACATTCTAGCAGAGACCTCACCGAGTCTACTGCCGTAAGCAAGGCTTGCTTCCAAATGCCGGCTCCCAAGGCCCATGACAGTGCCCAGCAGGGAGAAGACCGCTGCGGCACTTTGCAGGAGGGAGACCAAAAGTCTAAGAATCCAGGCTGCCTAAGAACCTGAAACCCAGGCGCCAGTGAATGGACGGCCCACTCCACTGGGAAGCCCAGAATTCCAACAGAGGCAAATTCACTGTTTTTCCAAGAAGGTCCACACTTTCCACAACACACATGTGGAAGCTAACCTGTAGTGACTAACAATAACCACTGAAATAATTAAATTCACTAGTAGGTGATCGTCACACAAGTCACTGTGGGGGAGAACTGGGCTTTTGAACATTCTGACATCAGCCAAGAAAGCAATAGTGACACTCAGTATACTGTGCACCACGTGTCAGCGTATTTGCCAGTGTACTGTGCACCGCATGTCAGTGTATGTGCCAGTGTACTGTGCACCGCATGTCAGTGTATGTGTCCCGCGTGTCTGTGTATGTGCACCGTGTGTCAGTGTACTGAGCGCTGTGTGTCAGTGTATGTGCACCTTGTGTCAGTGTATGTGCCCCGCATGTCTGTGTATGTGCACTGTGTGTCAGTGTACTGAGCACCGTGTGTCAGTGCATGTGCCAGTGTGCTGTGCACCATTTGTCAGGGCACTGAGCTCTGTGCCCCCCCCCTATCTTAATGAGCAGAATCTTAGGTTGGCTGGATCCTGGGTCACAGTAGGCATAACCCCAGGACCTGTGGAGAGGCTGCCTCTGTCTCCATGGAAACAGCATGCATTCAGGCAAATTGAAGTCCTTTTCAATGGGAAGAAATAGCCATTTGCAAGTGAGTGGTTTTGTGCCAAACAAATGGATTTATCACGCATCACTTACGCTCTATTACAAGGCCAAAATCAGGGAGTTAAAATACCTTAGTCCTATAAAGTGCTTTAAGTATGCTCCTATTTGGCCCTTCCTCTAAATATTTATAATTCTCCAAAAGTCTTTCCCTTAAGTGCCTTTTGAGTCAGGTTTACTGAGTCTTCCTCATTTACTTATTCATAGCAAATGTTGATTGAATGGCAATGTATTGACACTGGGATGTAGGTATTAATAAGGTGTGACCTCTGCCCTCAGAGAGCTCACAGCCAGGTAGTTATATGACACCAGGGCACAGCGCCTTGCCTTGAATCACTATTTCCTCCCAGGTACCCCAAAGGTGTGCGTGTGCTGCTGTGGGCCCTGGGCTCCTTCCAAGGATGTTCTCTGAAGGCAGCCTGCAGTTAGTGGTCACCCCGAGGTGGCTTCACAGTGATAGATGTTTAGGTCGTAGGACAAAAGCTCAAGGTCATCTTCAGCTACCTAGCGAGTGCTAAGTGAGTCCCTGTCTTTAAAATAACAACACAAAACCCCAGCACGGAAACCTGGGGAGCCTGAACTCCAGGAATGATTGACACAAGGAAGCATTGACTTGATTTTACAGCTCCGGGAAAGGTGGTCCACACACCAAGAACTGGGAAGTGTCAAGTGAGCGCTCGTGGTCCGAGGTTGAGGGATACCTGAGCAGGGTGAGGAATGTATATGGGCTTCTGAATCGGGCCACTAGGCACTCATGGTGACTCGGGATGAGACGAGGTGACTGAGAGGAAGCAGAAAGAATGAGGTGGAGCAAGCAGTGTGTGTAGACTCCTCTGCAGCCGTACAGCATGCAGACCAGCTGCATGTGTCTGTGAGGGTTGGCACTCAACCTCAGCATCCTCCATTCACGCAGGATTCTGCACTTACCCTGCCATGCATTTGCCAGGAGACAGGGATGTCCTGCTACCATGGCTTCTCGGAGGTGGGCCACTGCATAACAGAGACAGTGTGTCCCAGATAAAGACTGCAATCTCGCCTCTCAGTTGTGCTTGTTATCCTGGTCAACACTCTGCACTGCTGGCCATTACAGATGAGTTGTGTCACACTCAGAATTGCTTGGGAGTCATTGTGCGTGTGTGTGTGTGTGTGTGTGTGTGTGTGTGTGTGTTCTTGGATGGCAAAGGCAAGGCTAAGAGAGCAGGCGGAGGACAGTGTCACAGGGCTCCAGGGATCTTTGCAGACAGAGGCAGGACTTAGGTTTTTCTTCAAGGGAGGAAGAGTCAGAAATCAGAGAGACGGAAGACCGGTGTACAGAGCAGACCTCGGAAAGAAGGAAGATGAGGGAGCTGGAAGCCTGACCCTGGGTTGGGAGACAGAGGCCAAGAGCGGAGTGGATTTTCTGTGGTACTGAGAGACAAACATTGGAGGCACTTTAAAACCCTCTGGGGAGTTTTCAGAAACGATCCC